TAAAATCAACATTTTTTTTTCAACTTTCCAATTTTGGAATAAACAAAGTACTAATATAATCTTTTAGGGGTATGTTAATACTGCTAATAAAAAAAGGGCGTGTTAATACTTTTATAGCTATTATGACTAATCCGAAACGACCCATAAATTATATTTGGACTTGGTATTGACAATTTTTTTTTAAAAAAAAAATTAAAGATATATTGTGTACAATTGAGATGGTGACTGGGCTTACTTCTACCAGCCCGCCCTTATCCTTGGGCTGGATCCATTATCAGTCCATGAACTCAATCTTCTGAAGTTCGCTTGGAATAGGAAACCCAACTCGGTACTAGAATGAAACTACACATTGTTGAGAGAACAAAGGTGTGATTAACCAAATAGACAAACAACAGTGCCTATGATTTGGAGGTATTCAGATGCACGGGCGTCCACCGTTCCTGCTGTGTTGCTCGTCATAAGGAATCAGGTGTGGACATGCTTATTGTCGTTATCATGTAGTTATTTGAGCGGGAAGTTTCGGATTCGTTCCTCACTTCGGTCATAAAGGAATTACTGTAGCAGTCCGAGGTTCGGCACCTCGGCCCTGTCCTTACACTATTCCCCCCCCCGAAGTCATTCACTTGTGAATGATGTTGCTGGGGATAATAAGGGGAATGTATGAAAAATAAAGAGCACAAAGAGTGTATCTTATATTTAAACATAGCCGTAGCTAATAATGAAAGATGTAAGAATGGGTCATACTGAAGTGGCTTAAATGAAGTATAATCTGAGCAGTTATGACCGGAGTGATAACTTGTAAAGATGATGACCGTAGTCATAACGTAGTCAATGTCATGATAAAAAATAATGACTGGAGTTATAAAAGTGAAGGCCGTGATGGAAAATGATGACCGGAGTCATAAAGGTCGGGGCCGCAATAAAATTTGATGACCGGAGTCATAAGGGCCGGAGCCTTAATAAAATTTGATGACCGGAGTCATAAGGGCCGGAGCCTTAATAAAATTTGATGA